AGTAGGTCCGAAAGTCAAAGTAATAAGGCCGCACTTTGCGCAGGCCTCCTTCGAAGTAGTAGCTGGTCTCTGCAAAATGCTCATCGCCGAAGCTCACCCCTGCCCGCCGCTTCTTCGGGGGTGGCACGACGCGCTCCCTGATGGCGTCCCGTCGCTTTTTACGCTTGCCTGGGCCCGAAGCTGCAACCGGGGCCTTCTCCTCGCTCAGTGGGGTCTGCTTCCCGACCTCCCGGGCCGGCTCCACTCCCGGGCCTACAGGTTCCGCGCTCCCGGAGGTCCGCTCACCCCTCGCGTCGCCGCATGCGTCTCCGTTTTGTTGAACCGCAGCCCTCAGCCCGATCGCTGCCTCGGCCCCAGTCGAGAATGTTTCCGCCATCGGACCCCAGCAACTACCCCAAATCCTGGCAGCGCTGAGGCGCCGGAGGTTGAGGAACCCTCCTTGCTGAAAAACTGGAAGCCACCGGTGGCCGCCCAGCCACATGACAACTCGGCCCCAGATCATGGGTCGCGATGTGAGGACGTCACCGGGCACCAGCCAATCAGCGAGGCCCAGTGTCGAGGCGGGGACTGAGAAGAGAAGGAGGGACGGAGGCAGTTGAATGAGTGGAGTTGAACGTGTGGAGTTGCCTGTTGAGAGTCAGCGAGTGAGAGTGAATATGGGAGTGAGTTCAGTGGAGAGGCTGAGAATGACTCATCAAAAGTGTAGATTCCATGTAGATACGTTCAAAGTCCCTTGGGTCTGGAAAAACGAAAGGAGCCTTATTCAAAACAAATCAGAATGAGGATTGCTGAACTCTGACTATACTAAGAAGCGCTGTGTTGTATACTTTAAAGGGTGAATATTATAGTATGTGACTTACAACTCAATAAAGCTGTTATATACGTATCTAAACACGCACACCCCAGAAGCAATGTCTTCACACCTATCCTATCCTTCCTGAGAAGGATTATAAAGCACAGACAAGGAATGAGATATTGGAACGTTCTAGAGAGGAAGTCCTTGTGGGATTGTATAAAGTCTTGCTACTCAAAATGCAGTCTCTGGATTAGCAACATGGGAAACACCTGGCAACTTGTTGGAACTGCAGAATCTTGTTCCTTCTTCCCTCCTGACCTACTGAATGAAAATCTGTATTTCAACAATATCTTCAGATGGTATGTCTGCATATTAACATTTGAGAAGCGCTGGTATAGACCGTGTAGAGCAGACATTTGTCATATTTTTTGGATATCCAGCATCTTCTTAACCCTCTTCTTTTATGTGAGGAATTTCCCACATTATAAAATGTGTAAACCAGAAACCGGCCTTCCCAGATTGCCTTGTAGCATGGGCATTTATCACCTGGGCTCCACTGATCAGTCAGGGCCTTTTTTTTTTTTAAGATTTTATTTATTTATTTATTTATTTATTTATTTATTTATTTATTTATTTGACACAGAGAGAACACAAACAGGGGTAGTGAGAGAGGAAGAAGCAGGCCTCCCCCTCAGCAAGGAGCCTGATGCGGGGTTTGATCCCAGGATCCTGGGATCATCACCTGAACAGAAGGCAGAAGCTTAACCACTGAGCCACCCAGGCGCCCCCAGTCAGGGCCTTTAGTTCAGAGGCACACAGCAGAGGAAGCAGGCACAATGTAGAACCTATGTGTGACAAGATAGCATTGGAATGAAGTTAAATGCTAAACTCTCAAAAAAAAAAAAAAGCATTGGAAACATCTGATTTGGAGGGCTAACAGTAGGGGAGATCCTTGTGTCCAGTGGTCAGTCAGCAATGCCAGCTGCAGTATCTATGTTCAAAGGCATTGGAGTTTTCCCTGAGTAGTCCCTCGGTGAGGTTTAGACACTGTTCCTGGCTGTATGGACCCCAAACATAACTCTCTGGCCCATCTTAAGATTCTGAAAACTACTTAGTATGCTTTAATCCTGGGCTGTACAATGGAGTAACCGTTAGTCACATGTGGCTATTTAAATTTAAATTAAGTAAAATGAAAGAAAAATTAAAATTCAGTTCTTCAGCTGCACAAACTGCATTTCAAGTGCTCAATAGCCACATGAAACTAGTGGCTACCTTATCAGACAGCTCAGATACAGAAAATTTCTATCACCACAGAAAGTTCTATTGGACAGAGCAGCTTTAATCAATTTCTTTTACTGCTTAAACTGGTTAAATGAATTCTACTGTTTGTACTAAGAACTCCAACTAACTTACTATAAGGATTTAAGTCTTTATCGTAAGAGCAATGGGAAATCATCAGAGTTTTTCGTGTGTGTGTCTGTGAGTGTGTGTGACATGATCTGATCTCTATTTCCAAAAGGTCACCTCTGTTGCAACATGAAGAAGGAACTGAAGAGGGAATCACAAGCTCTAGCTCCAGTTCAGTGTGGTTTGACCATGAGAGTTCTAATTCAAATATTCACATACCAAACAAATTTTTAACATTTGCCAGGCATCATTTGGCTCTGGAGATACAGAGGTACGAAAGACATAGTTCCTGATCTCAATGAAGACCTATGCTGGTTAAGCATACAAATAAAAAACATACTTGTGCTAGGTTACACTGCGGTTAATGCAGAGTCTGAGATAGAGGGATGTGACTGCCCTCATGTGGCTTCCCCATATGATGAGTGCTTGGGGAGTGGGAGATCACATAGCTTTGCAAGTCCAGGTTCTGGTTTCAATTTATTCAGCACACACGCTAATTAAACTTAGAGGACATCGGTGAATCTGTAAAGGTGCCAATTTGATAATCTACAACTGTAACTTTAAGTTAGAAAATGTATTCCATCTTATACCAGTGACTATTTGTGCCTGTTAAAGACACCCTCATTCTTTTGTTTTTTAATTTTATTTATTTATTTGAGAGTAAGAGCAGGAGAGCACAGAGGGAGAGGGAGAGGGAGAAGCAGGCTCCCCACTGAGCAGAGAGCCAGACGTGGGGCTCCATCCCAGGACCCTGAGATCATGACCTGAGCCGAAGGCAGATACTTAACTGACTGAGTCTCCCAGGTGCCCAGGACACCCTCATCCTTGTTTAAAATATCTGAGAGGCTACATTTGAAATCAAGAGTTTGGTGAGCAGAAAATCAGATTAAAGGGCATGAGTTGAAAGGTCACGGAGTAGCTTGATGAAGCACCTGTAAACCTATGACAGTGACCCTTTCTATGAATCAGATGCTGCCAGATTCATGTCTCCAGTTTCGGTGGCAGTTAGAGGACCCTGGGGAATCTCTCACTCATAGACTTGACCCCTGACCCCCTACTTATTTTCTATGAATAAGCACTGAAAAAACCTTGCTTATTATTTGCTCCTTTGCTTTCTAATCTTCTTGCTTTCCACTTCCTTCTGTTTTCATATGCTCTCTAAGGATGGTTATAAATATGACCAGCAGAGTTCCTCATAGTTCCTTTTTTTTTTTT